TCAAACGATTAATCGCATCCAAAATAAAAGTTTTTCTTTACATAATATATGTATGTGTACTGTGTTTATTTATTATGTATATATAAATACACACACATACAGCATATATTTTTTTCATGTTTATACATGTATATATTCATATTCTTATAATTTATATTATATATAAATATATTTAATATAGAAACATAGCATATTTTTCTTAAACATATACATGCACGTGTTTGTATTTATATATACATAATAAATATACACAGTACAGACTCATATATTATGTAAACAAAAACTTTTATTTTGGATGCGATTAATCGCAATTAATCGGTTGCAGCACTACTTAAAATAAAATTCAAAAGCCGCAAGTCTTCATGCTACTTCTTTGCATACAATTAAAGTTCAAGCTCCAAAAAATGCATCATAAAATGCGCTACATTTAAACTCGTACAATAGTTTTCTGTAAGAAACAGACCAAAATTTAATTTATTTCCTGCTCTCAACCTCATTCACAAAAGCATTCAGATTTCACGTTGCGAGGGGTAAAGTTTTTGGCCAATAGAGGGTTCAATTTTGCTGTTCCTCACACAAAGCTTTCATATAATTTCTGAAGACCTGGAATTATAGTGCACAAGTTGTATGCACTACTAAATTTTGCTTTAAAACTTCTTTTTGTGTTCTACTGTTTCTGCCACGATAAAAAAAAAAAGGTAATTTTGAATTTATCAAACAATTGTGATTTTTCCTCAATTCAAATTTCATGTCACAATTCTGACTTTTTTTCCTCAGAATTACAAGATATAAACTAAAAACTGCAAGATATAAACTCGCATTTCTGAGAAGAAAAGTGAGATGTAAACTGCAACTGAAAGGAAAAAGTCAGAATTGTGAGATAAAATGTCGCAATTAGCTTTTTTTTTTTTTTACAGAACTGCAAATTAAAAATGTAGAATTCCGAAAAAACCAGGAATTGCTAGAAAGTTTATATCTTGTTTATATCTCAGAAGTGCGAGAAAAAAATGCTGAATTCTAAAATAAAAAGAGGCAATTACCTTTTTTTTTCTTCTTCCATAAATAACAGCATGCAGATTTGAGTCGACGCGAGGGTGACTAAATAACAACAATTTTAATTTTGGGGTGAATTCTCCTTTTAAGTGAGAAAAGTTAAGCTGGGCTCTCTACAAAACAAAACAACTTCATAAAATTATTCAGAATATATAATGAATCATTCTGCCCATTTAAATTACTCCCTGCACAAACTCACAAACAAATCAGACACACCAACAGACATTCTACTATTCACATCATGTGCTAAAAACATAGGCAAAATGTCTGAAATAACACTTTATACACAGCCAAAGACTAACTTATCAAAACGGAGAAGACGCTTTGGTCAACTTGAAGCTCCTTATCAATGTTTTCCAGGATGGAGTGACACACACACAAAAAACTAAAACCAGCGGTTTTAGTCCTCACAAAAGTTTATAAACAGACCGTCATCTCTTTATACAGATTGATGATGACGTTAAAGTCTTCTGGACGTTTGAACAGTTCAGGAAAAAAAAGAGAGGTAACACCTCAACAAAGTTCAGGTAGTACTGCGTCTAGATCAGCTAGGATGCGTCTACCTCTTCAGCACGATTCCTTTTGGTTTGGTTGATCTCTGGAGGTTTGCTTCAGCTGCAGCGCTTTTCAACCTCACTCCATTTTAGACATCTCATACTTGGTAGTCATGATCTCCTGTGTGAGAAACAGGCATGAATTAACTCACTCATTCATGATGGCTGATGTAAATGTTCCACAAACACATGAAAGTGAATAAAACAATGGAAACTAGACAATGTTATTTTAGTGTCACAAGATACTAAATATCACTAGATACTACACTGATGATTTTAATATTTTGAATGATTTATTATTTTTATATTTTCCATGTTAATTTTCATGTTAAAGTTTTAGTTATGTTGCTGTTTTGCCATTTTTTTGGTATTTCTATAGAGTTTTGTTAATTTTTTATTTCAGTTTTAGTTAAAGGGTAAGTTCACCCAAAAACGAAAATTGAGAATTTTAATTTTTGGGGGAACTAACCCTTTAATTATTTTAGTACGTCAAATTAAACTAAATGAAAAAGTTTGCATTGGCAACTAGCTGAAATAAAGTAAGTTTTATTATGTATTTTAGGTGAACAATTATTTTATTTAAAGTAATGAAACTGTATCCCCAACGTATCCCATTTCAGAAGAACACGGTAAAGAAAAACTGAAAGACTAAAACTAAAAACGTAAAGTTACAGCAAAGCAAAACTATGATAGAAATAAAGTTTGCATACCTCATCTGAGTCAAGAAGAACAGGAAGAGCTCTGAAAATAAAAGCGAATAATTGCGTGAATAATTACAAACTTACATGGGAAGCTTTTTCTTGCTAACAGCAGAGGGAGTATGTATGTATGTTTTTGGCCATGTCCACACGTACACGGGTATTTTTAGTTTTTTTAGTTTTTCCTTCTCCCGTTTTAAAAAAAATCTCCATCCACGTGAAAACACAAACGCATGCTGTGAAGCACTGTCAAGAGCATGCCAAACCAACAGGTGGCGATATAATCTCAACCGTAAAGCCATGTTGGCCAATCAGAAACCTGAAAAAGTTTCCAGTAGGCGGAGATAACAGCGCAGGCGACGACGTCACAAGCCAAAAACGCCGGTTTCGCGGTCTACACGATAACACTGCAACCGGAGTTTTTGAAAATTTTCACCCTGGCAGGCGTTTTCAAAAATTTTCGGTTTCAGTGACCTGGTGCTGCGTTTGCGTGTGGACGAACGGCCTAACCGCGTAGAAAAAGCTGCGGTTTTAAAAATAACCGTGTTCGTGTGGACAGGGCCTTTGTCAAACAGAAAACGACCTACACATCAGACAGAGAGGTCGGAATATTCTCCTCCACCCACTTCAAATCTTCATCCTGAAACAATCAAAGATTTTATTATATTAGGTTACATTTTATTATATAACATTTGTGTTATTTACTATTTTATTTATTGAGAATTCTCTGCTGAATAACAAGTTCAAAAGAACATAACTTATTTGAAATATAAATCTTTTTAACATTATAGGTGTTTTTACTGTCACTTTTAATCAATTTAATGTAATCTTGCAGTATAAAAATTTTTTCTTGAATGAACACATTTTAAAACCGTAAGAACAACTTAAAAATTATTAAAATAATACAAAAATAAAACTATATGGGACAGTTGATTTAAAAATCGGCACTGACCGGATTGGCTGCTGCAGGCTTCACTGTTCCATTGGTTTCTGTCTTAGCTGCCCTCAACTTTATCCCATCAGCTGAGGATGAATATGTGCATATTAATTAACCCACGATTTTCATATAACAAAGTTTCCATACAGTGCAATAACACCGGCCTACAGTGAAAACCTCAAAAAAAGTGTGACTGACCGATGTTTGCAGACACCAGGAACTCTTCAATCTTCTCATCGTCGGAGTCATCAATAAGCGGTGTGAACGCATACCTACACACAGAGCACATGTATGCGGTCAGGACGCGGCTGCAGTGTTGCCAACTAATTTTCAGGGGAAGTTGCTAAAGGAAGGTTGATTTGTTGCTAAAAGTTGCTAAATGACGCGATGTCATTGCGCGGTGACGTCATTGCGTAATCACGATGCAAAATTGTGTCACTGCATCAAATCTCAGCAAAAAAAAAAAAAAAATTTAAATATGTTAATTTAGATGTGTTTATAAAATTGCTCGATTTAGGGACCGTCTCTATTTGTCTCTCTTTTTCAGAAACGAACAATAAACTATTTTAAAATGTAAATAACACTAAGATAAGAGTGAAAACGGGCTATCAACATGAAATCTAATTACATTATACGTTAATTATTGAACGTGCATGTCATCCTTTGAGTGCAGTAATGAATTTTTTTTTTTTT